GCTGTCAAGCCTAGTTTAGCAGGGCATCTACTGGGTGGTGACTGCATCACCCATGGTCTGCCTTTCCTACTCTCGTCCAACATCTGGACTGCCGTCCTCTCCACGATGACCACAAGCTGGTAGGATCTGAGTCCATCCATTGTGGGACACTACTTTGAGCCTTAGAGAAACTTGATTTCTGGTTTAGCAGATGTTGACCAGGCCAGGCACAGGATCACAGTTGCTCACATGTCCTGGCTGCATACAGGCACAGCTGGTCCTGAGAGATGCCTTCCTATAGCATAAAACCAAAGGCCACAAAGGCAAGGAAGAATGCATTCTGCCTTTGTCATAAACTTGCAGGAAAGTAAGAGTTATGATGGTCTTTTTGGAACCACATCATTGTTTTGAGCAGCTGTAGAAGCCCCCACCCTCAGCTTACCCTGCAGTGCAGGCCCAGGTGGGCCCAGGTGGACACAGGTGGACCCAGGCAGAAGTACCTGCCAGACTCATGCAGATGGAGTCAGCTGCCTAGACAGTGCCTGCCCAGCACAGGCCCTCAGCTAGGGACCTCTGACTCCTATGGCCTTCCTAGCTTGTCGGTAAATGCTTCCCTGTGAAGAGAAGACAGAGACTCCTAGGTGGCTCAGGCCCCCATAAGAGGCCACTAATGTCACACTGGCTCACATTTTGCCATGCTGAGGGGTGCTGATTCCTTGTGTGGCTCCTTGGCTGTCCACAGCACCAGGACAACATAGCTTGGTGGACAGGCCTCCTGCTCAGTGTTTAGGACAGAAGTGTCATGACCTCTACAAGCCCCAATGGGAAAACAATGGAGGGAATTGTGTGTGTGTACGAAACAGATGTGCAGCCATCCATACTGGTGGGAAAAGCTTTTTAGCTTCTGTGAGATTCTGAGGTTTCATAGCACAGCCCGGACATTATCAGTGGTGGCCCTGGGGGAACACCCCTCTTCCCTAAGACAGTGTGAAGCCGACTTCCCCCAGGCATATTTGCTGTGTGTCTCTTCTGGGTTGAGATGGCTGGGACCTTCTGAATGGTTCTAGGAGACAGCAAACCTACTGTGTATAGAGGCTGACTGGCCAGACTTCATATCTGATATGAAGACTTCATATCTCAACCTCTGTCATCCAGTAGCCCTACAACACTCTGCTTTGTTGTCTGTGTTCATTTTTCCGTGTATCTTTCTCTTTGGCTTCTCCAGGGCCAGGCACCTACTGTGAGCATCCTGTGGGCTGGGTTATGTCTTGGCCCTCCTATGCAGCGCCCATGCTCAGTTGTTCCTTCACAACAGCTTCTTCTTCCCAGAGAGGAATTTCCTGGGCCCCAGCTTTGCCAGCAGCCCCTGAGCACTATCAGCAGGAGAGATGCCAGTGCTCGGCCCAGCCAGGTGCATGGATGGCTCAGCACTCTGTTACTGCATTCACAGTCCCAGCACCTGGGTACATCTCACTGGCATTTCTAGAATGCACTTGAACATCTAGCTGTCAACTCCAGGACCAGTTCACTTTCTGATGTGGTTGGTCCCCCTGGAGGCTGCCCCCTTCCCTATGCGGAAGTGTCTCGAGGTTAGGGAGGAGGAAGGTGAAGATTCCATGCTGAGGGTTACTGAGTTGAGGTGGGCAGGGCCTCCTGTGATGTGTCATATTGTAATTACATGTTGCACATTGTAGTTGCCAAACATTAAATTAGCAGCACTGGCTTTGGAGCATCATTTGACCACAGTCATGGTAATTATGTCCCTATGAGAAGGTCAGCAGTGACCTTGGGGTGAGGCTGGATAGCAGGATGATTCAGAGGATGAGAGTGGTGGACATGACATTCTCCAGTGAATGCCGAAGGCCAGAGCAAGGGCTGTGACTGGGCTCGTGCTGGGAGAAGATCACTAAAACTGGATGCTATTCTTTGAGCTTCCAGTTTCTGGGGAAGATGGAGACCTCTGAGAAGTGGCTTCATGATATGGGCACTTTGGATAGCAATGTGAAAGATTCACATGCAGAAGCTCAGAACTACAGACATTCAATCTGTTGGCTGTGTCTGTGGCCTCAGGACCCCGCTGTGGGTGTGGTGGGAGAGTCCATGATGCTGCCTTCCACTAAGGGAGAGACTTCTGTCATCAGCTCCCATCACAGGTGAGGCACATGTGACACTAACCACCCTATGTTATCTAGAAAGAGGTTCACAACACCCCTCAACAGGCCTAGTCCCTGTGAACTGCCCCAGGCCTATAAGGACTGAAATATTCAAAGGCCTCTAGTCCACAGCCCACTCTCAGAGAATCACTGGTGATGGATGGGACCCAAGAGTGCACGAGCAATCAGTTTACACACATGCAGCCAAGCAGCAATGTCCTGGTCCCTGGACTTCAGAGGCCTTGGACCTGGTGGAGTATAAAGCTGGCCGGAGAGCTTGTGAGAGACACATGTCAAGAAGGCAAGTTTGGGCGAGGAAGGACTCTTCGAAGCTCAGACTGCCCTTATCCACCTGGCCACCTGGTTCCAGGACAAGAGACTGACTACAGTCTGAGAGAGGACTGAGTACATTTACCCACATGCCACACTGAGAGGGTGCCATGGGCCTGCTATCACCGGACTCCACTGACAGGGCTCAAGCAGGATAGCAGAGGCCTGGTCCTTTAGTTGCCATCCCCAGAATGAGGAAATGTGGGGCCCCCGAGACCCCCAGGCTCCTCGATAAAGGGTGATTCTGGTGGGTTCTGGACTCCTTCCCCACAGTTGGCTCAGCTGGTATCCTATGGATGCAGAGGATGTCCCTAAGCCTTTTGCAATGCTGTGGGGACCACTGTGGAGTAGGTTCATCCTGCTGAGGGGCCAGGAGGGGCACCACTGCACCCTTCCTGGGTTTATCCTGTGAGGGGCTTCCTCTACTGGACTGAGCCGTTTCCTTGAAGAACTTCCCAGGGGGCATTCAACGGGGTTGTGGCCTGAGACACAGTGACAGCCTGAGGACCAGTTCTGCTGCCATACCCTCACCCCAGGCTGGTCCATGGGTCAGGAAAATTGGAATCTGGGACTCTGCTTCAGGGACCCTCTTGAAGTGCCGGTGACTTAGAAGACACTGGCCTAGAAGGACAGGTTCCTTCCCAATAGTTTATGAACTCTGCCAGGCAAATATTAGTTCTTACCAGTTTTTTTTTTAATTAGTAAACTTTAGTTAGGTTTACAGAAAAACTAAGTAGAGAGAATTCCCCCATATATCCTTTCCCCATCCCATTTCCTCCCATGGTTAACATCTTGCCTGTATAAATCTTGTGATCAGTGAACCAAGGTGGCTACATTATAAAGATCAAAGTCTATGTTCCAGCAGTGTGTTAGTAGCTTCTGACATGGGTATAGGCCCTCTCTCCCCACGCTACATCCTAATGTTCAGTCAGCCCTCTGTGCACAGGGTCCCAGCAGCCTGGGTAGTCCAGCAACAGCTAAGGGTTCCATGACAGGTCATTGTAGGTCATTAGTACTCAGTGTCTGCCCTGGACACACTGCCCCTATCCATGGAATGATGGTCTAGTCTCTGGCAAGTCCTGTGGCCCTTCTAGGTTAGATAAAGCCTGGTGGGTGGTGTGCAAATGGCTTATTCAGCCCTGCAAAAAATACTGCTGGCTACAGTTTACAGATGTGCCACTGGCAGCTCCTTTCCAGGCAGCTAATGGCTCTGCCTCCAGGCTCCCAGCACTTTTGCAGCCCAGTACCTGCAGAGATGGGATGGGGCCAAGGTGAAAGATGGCGTGATAGGTTCTTCCAGGCACTGACCAGATGGGTGTGTTGCCTCAAGTCCAGGGGACATTGTTTGCTGCACCAAGCAGGGCCCTGCTCTGATTCTGAGGTTGGGTAGGCTGGCCAGATCCTTGAACTGGCTCCCTAGACCCGTCCTTTTGCCCCAGCTCTCTTGAGCAGCTGCAGCTCTATGCCTGTGCCAGCCACCACCCCATACAGTGAAGTCATGATTCCTTGCTTTTCACTTACTCCCCGAAAACCTGGACTCCCAGGGCTCTCCTCACAGAAAGGTGCATATCAAAAACCCACCCTCCAGCACTGCAGGGGGCTGCTGGCTGCCAGCTGCACCCCACATCGGAGCTTCCCCTGGCATAAGGCTCTGGGTCAGGGAAGATGCTCCTTCCCAGGCCCCACTGTGTGCCAGGCCGGTAGTGGCCACGTGGCTACCTGGAGTTGGAAGATTTTGGAATAATACTACCCACCAGTTTCCTGTTGCTAGAAATGGGCTCGCAGCAAGTCTGCCCCAAGGGTGCGCAATGACGGTCGTCTAGGGATTGCCTGGATTGTCAAACCTGGAGTGGAGGGTTGCTACTGCCATCTAGAACAGGGACTGACGCTGTTAAAAATCCCACAATGTGCGGACGGCCCACTGCAAATATTCAGCCCTAAACCTCATCTCCTGGCTTGGGGAGGCAGCACCAAGCCGGGTGGGGTGGGGCGAGGGCTGGCGGTGGCCACAGGTCCCCTGGGAGCCACGGCTTCAGGAACAGAATGCCCAAACCTTCTTGCAGGCCCACTACGCAGCGGCGTCCAGCCAGAGCGGGCTCTCTCGGCTTGCCCATGGGCTGCGGGCCTGGACAGAGTGCGCACCTGCGCCAAACGCTGGGGACACGCTGGAGTCTCCCCCGACAGCCAGGTCACGCGGGGACCCGGCTGTGTCCCGCTGCAGCTCACTGCCATCCCCTCGGGGGTCGCCGGGGATCTCCACTATCGGATGACCTCACGACTTTCTCCCAGTCCAGCGCCTGGCAGCGCCCCCACTTTCCACCCCGGGCTACACAACCCCGGCGCCGAGCCCAGAGAAGCTGCCCGCGAGGCGCCCGCTGCGGGATTCGAGACCCTGCTTCGCAGAGCGCAGGGAGGCCGAGGGGCGGGGCTCTGGGGGGGCGGGGCGAACACGGAAGGCGGGGCGCGGCGTCCGGCGCGGGGGCGTGGTGTCCTGCGAGCCCGCCCCCCAGCTGGGCCGGGACCGCGGGCTGCGGAGTCGCCTGCTCAGTCTTCAGCGGCGGCGGCGGCTGCAGCAGGCGCGCATCTCTGGGCACTGCGCGGGTGGCGGCGGCGGCGGGCCGGGATCGGCGGGTCAGGATGGGCGGGCGGCCGCGCGGGAGACGTGGGGAGCGCGAGACGTGACCCCTCTGCACGCGGAGCGCAACAGCCGGCCGCGCCTGGTCTGTCTGACGGGTGGGCGTGGACGCGGGCCGGCTGCTGACCTCGCCGGAGCATGCGGGTAGCGGCGCGGGCGGCCGCGGTGTGCGCGGGGCTGCCGTGGCCGCGGCCCCCCGCCCCGGGTGCGTCGCCGCCGCCGCCGCCGCCGCCGCTGCTGCCGCCGCCGCCACTGCTCCTGCTGCTGCTGGTGCTGCTGCTGCCATCCGTGTTGCTGGGCTGCGCGGGCGCGCAGTACTCCAGCGACCTGTGCAGCTGGAAGGGGAGGTGAGTCTGCGGCGCGATCCCGTCCTGGTGCCTCCGCCCCGTCCGGCCACGAAACAAAAGAGCCCGCGGGTTTCCTGGGCGTCCGGTCGGCAGACCTCTGGGCATCAGCGTGGACTATCCCGGCTCCCGGCTCCCGGCGGCGCGCTGTCCCTGTTCCGGACGGCGAACTGCGGGCAGACACCTGCGCGCCAGCGAGCCGGCCCAAGCCCCCCCACCCCCACCCCGCCCCGTGAAGGTCAAGCCGCCCTTGGCCGCCGAGCCGGGTCCTGCGACCCCTCCTCCCAGCCGCGGTGGCAGCCTGGTACTTTTTTTCTTTAACTGAAGTGTGACACGCAGAAAAGAGCGCAAGTCTCAAGTCTCAAGTGTGAGCGGGCTGGGTGCTGGGGAGTCAGGCGCCGAAGGCGTGGGGCACTGTGGGGGTCCCTGCCCTTCAAGGGCCGATTGTGTGCCTTGGACATTGCCACTTAAACAGTTTGAGGAGTGTCCTGCATTGACGCGCTAGGGATGCCTTCGGATCTGGTTGGAGGTCCCCACGGGCAGGCTGCCACCCCACCCCAGTCTGATTGCAGGGGCAGACTACAGCTCAGGCGACTCATGCCGGGGCGGGGGTGGTTCTGTCACGGGTGGTTTGGGTGCAGCCAGCTTTCCGAGAAGGGTAGGACGTGAGCCCAAGAGGGGCTCTGCGTCAGCTGGGTATTGCTGGTCATCTTGGACACTCACAGCACCCAGTTCTGAGAAACCACAGTGACCACAGTCACTCCCCCCAGAGGGCTCTTGCCAATGAGTGGGGGTGGATGGAAGGAGTGAGCCTGGCTCCTAAGTTCTGGGCACTGTCCTCCTCTCGGGGACTTTTCAGCTCCCACTGCAGAGAGCCCCCCTGCCTACAAACAGGGCAAGCTGAGGGCGGATGGAGCTCTGGGGGAGGGTTGGCCTCGGGAATGCTGGCGCCAGTACAGAGCTGGCCTGCAGCCCCTGACGCTGACGCCTCTGCTGGGGCTGCCCTCTCCCCTGCCACAGTAATTAAGGTCCCTGCTCAAAGCTCCGCTGGTGAATCAACACCCAGCCCAAGGCCTTGGGGTGTCCTGCTGCAGCAAATCAAAAACAAACCCAGTCCCTGTCCTGTGAGCCTGAGTTCCCTGTAAGCTGACTGCCTTTCCAGGTTTCAGAGCACTGCCTGCAAGGACCCCTTCTCAGGGACCCCTTGCTCAGGGGCAGGGTGGTGCCTCCTAGAGCAGTGCAATGGCAGGGTTGTGCCCCAGGTGCCTGCCCATCCTTCTGTCTCCCTGGAGAAGTAGAGGCATGACTGGCACTCTTCCCTGCGACTCCTTCCAGGGGTCTCTCCCCCAGGCAGAGCCGGCTGGGCACAGAGCAGCTTCCCGGGCTGGAGCTTCGGTGTCATCTGCAGTACCAAGAAGGCTGTTTGCCCTGGGGTCTGGTCCCACTGATGAGTACACTTCCACCCCAGCTGACTCACTGTCAGGTGGCTGCTTTGTGGCTAACTCCACAAGTTTATGATTTTAGGAGCTACTCTAAAGACAGTCCTGGGTGGAGGGAATGAAGATATGCCAGTTTCTGGTCCTGATAGGAAGGGAGTTGCTCTCTGACACTGGCCACTCACACTTGATGCACTTAGACTTTGAGGTGTTTCCAAGCAATCACGCTGGAGATTTTCTAGTACCTCTCCCTGTGGAAGGGCAGGACCAGCGCCCCATCTTTATGAGCCAGGGCCATAAAGATGGACCCTGAACTTTCCCACTGCCATCAACCGGGGGCATGGCAGGTGCAGTCACACCTGGACTGCCTTCTACCACATGGGGAAATGAAAGGCACGACTTGTCAGCAGAGCCTTTAGGTTTTACCCTGGCTCAGAAGCTCTTCCTGACTTCAGTAAGCCAGAGACCATCGTCTTGTCCTCTTGGCTCTAGGCTCACCTGGCTATGGATGGGAGTGGTGTGTGAGCTGGCCCCTTGCTGGTGTTTTGCCCCATAGCAACCTGGGATTTACCCTCCCTTTTGTAGAAGCACACAGGCTTGTTACCTGGACACTTGGACATCATTGCTGAGGTTTTTTTTTTTTTTAAGCATTAATTCAGTCTAATTAATCTGTGATCAAATCAGCCTTGTCAGTTCCATGAAGTAGACTAGAACCAAAGTTCTGCCTGCATCCTGCAGCTTCATCACAGTAGTGCTTAGTGCGTCATCTGTATCTTGTGAAGATGGTAAAACATGATTAGTGGTAATTAGTAATGCTATGTTTACATTTCCAGTGATAGAAACCTTGTATGAATAGATATGTTTGTCAGATTTGCTGTGGTGCTGGATATTTGGGGTGCCAGGTATTCAGGTAGTATGGCCCAGGCTTTTACTTCATCAAAGTCCTGTGAGTCTCAGGCTGAGAGGCCCTTGGTTTTCCTTTCCTCAGTGGCTGTCTTAATGGGGGTCTGGCACATCACACGACATAGATTTTAATGGGAGTGTTCCCATGCTGAGTGCCTCCTTGGGTTCCTGTTGACTTTGATGGTTTAGGAAGTGAGATGATGGCACCACTAGTCCTGAGCAAGGTGTGGGCTCTTCTCTGGGCTGCTGAAGACGTCGACACAGGTGAGGTGGCAGGTGCCTCAGTTCTCAGAGTCCCACCTGAGTTTTGCTTCCTTTTGGAGGATACACGTTAACTGCAGCGGGGGCTATGATGATTGTCTCCTTCCCTGCCTGGGGCTTGACTGCCTACGTGCAGCCAGAGTTGTGGGTGTCAGCAGCACCCCTCCATACTCCACCAGGTGAATGTGATGCTCTTGGAGGTATATGAGCCTCTGGTGTGGGTTTGTACCCCCTGAGCCTCCAAGAGAGGAGCAGAACCTTAGCCTGGATGGTTGATTATGAAGAGAGAGTTGAGGATCATGCCTGTGTTGGGACACATGTTAGGTGCTTCTTGATGGGAGGAGGGACAGGGCAATCAGATTTTGGGTGTAGAAGGAAAGAGTTGATTATAGGGATATGTGGCAGCCACTCACCATTTAGTTTAATTTTCACCCAGCACCATAATTATACCTGTCTCTCATAGGTGTCAGGTGAGCTTGTGTGAGTTTTATTGCTGTAATTTGGTCAGTTTGCTCAGCATGTGTGGCCCTGCCAACATCTGCAGCCAGGCTGGCTGCTCATGACCCAGGGCCTTGTAGGGGTGGGGAGCAGGTCAAGGGGGTTCACCCTCCGCGTTTCCCTCTGATGTGGTCGGCAGGGTGACTGAGCAGCCAGCCTCATCTCAGGCGTGAGGTTTTGGGGGCCCAGAATGTGAGTCACCAGCAGTGAATGTGAACCATATGGTATACATTTTCTCTTCTGCAGCAAGTTTCTGGTAACTCACTCAGGCTGGGGCTCTGGATATAGTGTTGCTTATTTCGCATAAAAATCTGAAGAATGTGGGTGAACCTGAGATCTGATCAGAACTGAACTTCATGTAATAAAAACACTTAGCTGAAGTCACCGGTATCCTTCCAGGCCCACTTGTGGTTATGATGTAACTGTGAGCGACAGGCTGGCATTTACATTAAAGCATGAGCAGCAGAAACTTCAACGTTTTTGATGGTTTCAGTTTCTTGAAAACAACTGTCTTTCTCAGGACCTACCTCAGCAGGAGTGAGCGAAGGATGAATAAACACATGCTATGCGTTTTTTTTCCTATTCAACTCTTAGGAGGGGCAAAATCATCCTTTTACTTTAGGGGTTCCCTTTAGTTTTTGTCCCTCAGTCATGTCCCCTACCCCAGGCAGGATGTGTCCTTTGCTTTTATACTGGATCTTGCTTTAATGATTATTTTTAAGAATATAATTGGCAATGCAGGGCCTTCAGGCTTGAAAATGAATGAAAAAAACTGTCAAGTCATCACCTTAAGTGAAATATAAATGTATCTGACCACCATTGAGTGAGCTGGGAGTGGGAAGACCATGCTCACCCTCATTGCTGACAGCCCCAGCTTGCTAGGAGGGGTGCTGGAGCTTGGCTGCACCCACAATGCCCCTGTGCCTGGGGCTGGTCCCCACCTACATCTGAGGACTCTGTGTTATCCTTCCCCTGGCCTGCCAGGCCTTCTGGTTCAACAGGATTGGTGCCGAAGTCCTGTGGTTCTTCCTTGGGATGTGAAAGCATCCAGTTTTTGATTCTCATTCCCACTGTTCCCAGAGCCTCCATGTCTCTGTCAGGGATGCACTGAGATTAGATCAAAGTTGCAGTCCGGGTACTGTGGGGGTTTGGGGCACCTAGGCTACTGGGGCCGTCTGTCAGAGCTATGGCCCACCCCACCCCAGACGGGAGCAGCACTGGAGCAGCACTGCAGAGATGACTGTCCTGGGGCAGCTGCCCCCTCCCACCTGCCTTGCACAGGGCTGTGGGTGTCCAGTGGGCAGTGGATGAGCACGTGAGGAGTTGCAGTGGAATTGCACTTGCTGGCATATGAGTTCTGGGAGTCTGGGCCCTGGGCTCTGGCTGACCCTCTCCCCTTCCCACAGTGGGCTGACCCATGAGGCACACAGGAAGGAGGTGGAGCAGGTGTACCTGCGCTGCTCGGCTGGCTCAGTGGAGTGGATGTACCCAACGGGGGCGCTCATCGTGAACCTGCGGCCCAACACGTTCTCGCCCTCCCGACACCTAACCGTGTGCATCAAGCCCTTCAGGGACTCCTCAGGAGCTAATATTTATTTGGAAAAAACTGGAGAACTGAGACTGCTGGTGCGGGATGGAGACAGTGAGCCTGGCCGGGTGCAGTGCTTCAGCCTGGAGCGAGGCGGCCTGTTTGTAGAGGCGACGCCCCAGCAGGACATTAGCAGGAGGGCCACCGGCTTCCAGTATGAGCTGATGAGTGGGCACCGGGCACTGGACCTGCATATGCTGACTGGTAAGTGTCCTGGGGGCAATGTAGGCACACTGCAGGTCTACTCTCTGGGCTTACCAGACCTTTCTTGTCCCTCCTCTGCTTGTAAGCTGAAAATACTCCATGTGTGTGACTTGAGGTACTTCTTTTGTGCCAGACTTGCATGGGGAGCCCCCAGAGTCCCTGCACATAGCCCTATTAAGGGAAGTTGGTGGGGTGAGGTATTGCAGCTTAAACCTGGACGATCTTTGAAATGTAGCCTTTTCCACCAAAACCCCCTCATGAGCCTGTGGTCAGTCTGTGAGTCCTGTTAGGTCCTGGTGTGTCGGACCTGGCAGAACAGGGCCTGTCCTCAGGACGTGTGCATGGGGGAGAACAGCATTCCAAGGTGGCCCAGCGTCTTAGCCCTGGTCATAACTCATGTGACAGGGAGCTTTTACCCTTCAGACTGTCCCATGAACTGGCCCAAGTGTTTGGTTGTAGAGTTTGGGTAGGTGCTCAGGCTGATTCATGCCCCTGAGCAGCACAGGGCTATGATGTCCCAGAACTTGGGGCTGAGTCTGGTTCTGGGGGTGTTTTGTGGGTGAATATTGTCAGGACTAAGAAAGCCACTTGGGACCTCTGTGGAAGGGCAGACTGACACTTTGCAGGACAAAGGCAGAGAACTGAGAGGGGAGGCTCTTGTGTGGAGACAAGACACCAGGAGGGCCAAGAAATGGCTGTGAGCAGGGGTGTGGCCAGGTGGCTGGCAGAGGTTGCAGGAGAGGAGGAGTCCCTCCTAGGGACAACGAGGCTTCTGTTCATGAAGACCATGCCATTCGTCTTCTCAGTGTCTGATGATCTAGGGACCTACGCAAGATTCTGTACAGAAGATCCCTCTAAGGCTATGTGGGTGGGGCTAGGGGGATAGACAGGCCGGGTCTCAGGGCTTGCCTTTGGGTTTTCTTTATTCTTTTTTCAAGAGGAGCAAGTGCTTCGCATTTGATGGGAGGCAGGAGAAGTGTCACTGTCCACAGTGTTATTCTCTTCTAGAACGCTCTGTGCTGTGAGCAAATGGGATATGAGTTTTGGGATACCTGGGCCAGTGCTCAAGGTGGATGGAGAGGTAAGGGATGAATGTACCTGGCCCTGAGGGCCTGGAGATGAGTTCACAATTTAAGAAATCCTAGAAAAATCTGAACACTGCATTGAGACTGATCAGAGTTATAGCCTTTCAGCTGGAGGCAGAAAGTGCCAGGGCAGACATAGGGACCTGAGAATTGTTCTTGTGCTGGAGACAAGTGGGCTGGCTGAAGCTATTCCACTGCTATGCACTTTCTATGGCTCGGACTTTGGTTCTCAGTGGCTTTGGGTAGGTCTGCCTTCAGTCTGCACACTGAGTGTCACACCAGTACAGACAAGTGCCTGCAAATCCAGGTGCTGCTTATGATCTGGGAAGAATATCAGATCCCCCACCTTTGTTGTGTTCCTACTTTTAGGCTGGGCATTGAGGCCTGTGGGTTTGGTTAAGCTGCCCAAGGTTCCTTTGAAGTCACTGGGAGGTGGTGACTGGCATCTATGTGTCTCCTGGACCACACAGGACAGTGAACCAGGCAGATGTCCTCCTGGCTGCATACCCAGGACTTGCTAAGTCTTGGAGAAGATGCTTAGGTACCCCTGTTACTCCTCAGCATCCCCCACCTGGCCCTGTGCCTGTTGAAATCGAGCATGCAGGAGTTCTAAGCACGCTACAGATTGTAGTGGGTCATCCAAGGCAGCATAGCCATGAAGGGACCACCAAGCCTTGAGGTTGGACAGAGCCTCAGATGTACTAGGGGCTCTGGGACCCAGGACTTGACCCTGTCCCCCAGAAACAGGCACAGATGCTTGTCTCCTCTGAGGAATGGTACTTCTGGGCTCCTTCCTGAAGGCCTTGGGCAGCACAGGTCAGGAAGGCTCATCCCCTTTCCCTTTGGTATTTGACTTTGATCAGGGAATGGGGGCTGCTAAGCCTTTAATGCCTGAGAAATAGGTACATTATGTGGAACGCTGGTGCCCGCCATTTGGCAGCAGCCCACATTGTCCTCTCCAGGTCAGGTAGCTCCTTAGCTCCCTCTGGCCAGGGTCTCCCTTGTCTCCTTCTGGCAGCACAGGCTGAGTATGCACTGTGGCCTGAATGGTCATATTAGGAGGTAACCCAGCTCTCTGATGAATCACAGGTTCTAGATTGTGCCAACGCAAATGAACAGAGATTCTGTGGGCTGAAGCTCAAGCCTGGCTCCTCACGTAGCCAGGAGGAGACCTGCCCTGTTGGACAGGTCTGCATGACAGCAAGGTGGCTGTGAGTCCATGTATATGCCATAATCAGCTTCTCAGACATACCAGTAGCTGAGAAGACCAGAGCAGTGAGGCAGGCCACTCCTCCAGTGATGAAGTCAGGTGCTAGGTGGGAGGTGACCCTAGTCTAGGGCCTGGGGATTTGGTTGCCACCTAGTAGTTGTACTCTCCCATTCCTGGTGCTGTGGGGCCTTGCCCAGGCCTTTAAGCAGTGCATGTTCCCTCCAGTGTCTGAGAAATCTGGCAGGATACAAACATAGCCACTACAGAACACAGAATGCTACAATGCAAGTCCAGGACAAGGGGCTAGTGGAGCTGTCTGGCCAGTGCCCAGGCCTAGCCAGGAAAGTGGTTATTACTTGCAGACAGCGCTGCAGGGGTAGTCAGCAAGCATGGCAGCCCCACTTGGTTGAGGGAACAGGCCCAGCCCACACAGACCCGCAGATCCTTCTCTATTGTTTAGTTCTCAGGATGGCATGTTGGGTGCTCATGGCACAGCCACTGTGTGCCCTGAGCTTGGGGTTGGAGCTCTACGCAGGCCCCGTGAGCAGGCACCCAGGAAGGGGACAGCAGCATTTCAGGTACATGATGAAGGGGAGAGGAGAGGACACTGATGCTGCAGTGCCCCAGTCCTGACCACCCCACCTCCATCCCCTTTAAAACCTGTTCTGCTCGATAAGCCTGAGCAACTGGTCCAGATAGCTATGCTGTGTTGAACCCTCAATGGCAAGTCCCCTCAGAAACCTCTGAGTTTGGGGATGTGAGGGTCAGCAGTAAAGCCTAGAACTGAAAAAGAAGCTGCGCTGCTTCCCAGAAGCAGAGCTTAGTTTTTTCCCAGATCTTCCCATCCCTCTGGTGGTTTCATTTCTGGCTTCATGTTGGGCTACTGCAATTATCCTGTGATTGTCTTCTATCTTCACCATCTCTCAGCTTTTGGGCAGGAAGGGTGTAGCCTCCACCAGCTTCTTGCCTGGGAAATGAGAGGGAAGACCATCGTGGCTGGAGGGCAGGTGAGGTCGGCTGTGTGGGGTCCTCTCATCCTGGTGCTTCCCAACTGGTGTGGCCTTCCCAGGGAGCGTATGCCTCTTCATCTGTGACTTGCTGCTTCCACCCTGTGCCCTGCTGTGCTGAGGCCCCAGCAGGCAGTGCTGTGGGAGTTCTCCCATTGGAGCTTGTGCGTGTTACCCTGGCTCCTCTCACTTGTTCATCCCATGCTGTGTGCCAGGCAGGCCAGCTTCCATGGACTCCTTATGTCCAGCCACTCCTGCTTGCTCACCCTTGCCACACCACACTCCTCTCTGCTGGCACCTGCCCTCACCGATTTCCCTCTGGTGCCATGCTCCCTCCTCACTCAGTTTTATGCACTTTGCTGAGTGATTCCAAAGCATCCACCCTCAGCCCTGGGAAACATGATGCCCTGTGTGCATGACCAGCACATTCCACAGCCCCAAGGAGCCCAGCTCTGATTAACGATTGTTTCCAGATTGCCAGCCTTGGAGTCCACACTGAATTTTCCATGAAGGTGACCTGTGCCCTTTGAAGCTCAGAACTGAAGACGGACACCTCCAGGGTGGTGCTTTGTTAGCTCAGCTGTTGACGGTGTATATTACAGGGGCCCCTCAGGTCTCAGGCTGCCGACTGCCTTCTGGGGCTCAGGCCTCCTGAGGGTGGGTGAGCCTGAGCCAGGATGAGCTAAGCTCTGGTGAGGGGAGGGTCATCACACTTTGTCCCCACCTGTAGGCTGTACCAGAGAGGTCCTGGGTGTGTGACTCAGACAGTGAAGCTTGAGGTTGTGACTGCTGGTGCAAACCCTGGCCTGGGACCTGGTCACAGATAGGCAGGGGCTTCTGGCTTATCTGCCAGTGACGGTTGCCATGGCACAGAGCACATAACCTCAGCTGACTCTGGGAATCTCCTGTGGACCACTGCCCTCTTGCTTCAGCACTGTGTGGCCTGGAGGCTTCCTGCCCAGTGGCTGTCAGGTGGGCTGTGGTCATTGTGGGTTTGCTCACCTGTGCTGTTGTCACCCCAGCTTCCCCTACTTACACAGGGGACCATGAGCTCAGGTCCCATGACACTGAGCAGGCACCAGCCAGGATGGAAGGTCTCCTTAAGTCTCATGTCCTGAATAAAGATGCAATTCAAAACACAAGTACCCTGATACCCACAGTACTCCTGGGCCTGTTGCTCTGGGCTTCCCACAGTGGCCTGTGACTTAAGATGTTCATCCGTGCAGTGCCTAGCGTAGTAAACAGCTGCCCATGGTGGCTGCACTCCAGCTGGGCAAGAAAGCCCTCATGGACTAAGTAACCCCACAGGGAAGGATGCAGTGTGGTCAAGCAAATATCACAGGAAGCGGGGCTCCTATCTGCTGGGGTGGAGTGAGCATCAGAGGACTCTGTCAGTGGGAGGCTACAGACTGAAATAGGGGCAGGGACACAATTCTCTGATGCCTGACAGCAGAGCCAACAGGTTCTTCTGGTTCTGTGGCTTCTCCTTTTGCTGATAACTGAATAGAAGCAGAGAAGCAGGCAGGAGGTGGATGGGACATGAGTCAGCAAGTGCTCAGCCTGGGGTGGTAGGAGGCCTCTGTCTCTGCCAGCTGGGACAGGACAGGAGACAGTGCTCTTCAAACCTGTGCCTACCCAGGAGGGCTGTAGACCCTCGGGTGTGGTCTCCACTCTTTTGATGCTGTGTGCAGGCTGGGGGTGGTGTACTGTGTACGGGAGGCTGGATCCTCTCTGAGTTCCCACTGCAAATGCTTGGCCTTTTGGCCATGGCCAAGGAGACATGTGCCACCCTGTCCCCTAGTGGCCCTAGTCACCAGCACTAGGAGTCTGTGCAGCTACCAGGCAGGTGACATCTCCACCTCATCAGCTCAAGGTGGTGAGGGTGGCTAGCCAGACATGTAGATGGTGTTGGCCTCTTCCAGAGCACCTGTGGCGAGCATAGTAAGGGGAAATTTTTCTGAGATTTCACGCCTCCAATTTTTGTTGAGTTATTGTGTCCCCAAACACATGACTCCAACAAGTGAGGCAGAGGCCTTGAACTGTGCTGCATGACCACACTTTCCCAAATTTGCCCTGGGACATAGCAAGACCAAAGTCTGCAGGAAGCTGCTGGATCTGGAGTTTCTGTTTCACATTTGGGAACTGGGGCAAAGGGCAGGCTGAGGGCCATCCCAGGAGAAGTGTGTTGTGCAGACCTGGTTAGGCCAGCAAGGGACTCATTCTGAACAGGTTTGGCACCTTGGGTTCTAGAGAAGCCAAGCCCCAGGTTGCAGGAGCCTCTGAGTAAGTTCAGTGAACAAGGCTGAGCTGGACAACTGTCTGGGTGCCTCTGGGGAGAGGGCTGAGCTCATGGTGTTGACTAGAGGTCCAGATCCATGGCAGGCAGACCCCCTGCAGAGTCTTAGCCTTGGTGATTTTCCCAGGTGATCCCTGAGTCCTGGCAGTTGGGGACCCTCCTGAAGAAGGAAGCATCTTACTGATGTGGGAGTGGCCTCCTTTTGGTGGAGCAGCTGACATCTTTGAGGTGGTTCAGCTTTTCGGGGTATGGTGTGGAGGCTGGGTATTGGGGAGAGTGAGGGATATACTGTGTCAATTGAGCTTGGGATTGGCTTCATGTGTGTTAGGCACATAAGAGTGATTGTTTTTTTTGTTTTTTTGGGGGGGGGTACTGGTGTTTGAATTTAGGGCATGCTAGGCAAATGGTCTTTAAGTCAGTAGAGTTGTTTCTTATTGGCTAACAACTTTGCTAAGAAGGCAACTGGGGGCAGGTGTGCAGCTGTCTTTCTCTGTGACCTTGCTTTTGGGGTGATTGCTGCACTGTGACTCTTTTGGTGCTGGTGGGGCTGAGGAACCTGGTAGAGTTGAGGTTGGTGTCCTGTCTTCTGCTCTGTGAGGTGCCTCTGGTGTGTTCCTTAACACTGAGGGGGGTGGTATTGGCTGGAAAGGTTTGAGCAGAGCTTTGTATAATTGAGTAAAGGGCAGGTTAGGGTGTTAGGCTGGGGGTGGTCTGTGGCTGACCACCCTTTACAACTGGGGTGGGTGCTGTGCAGGACCTGTCTCTGTCTGGGCTGTGTACTGACCCTGTTCTCCCTCTTCAGCCCCTTGCCGCCCTTGCAGCGATACTGAGGTCCTCCTCGCAGTCTGCACCAGCGATTTCGGTGAGTGTGTGACTTCGTGGCATCTTTCTCGTGTGTGCATGCTTCCTGCTTTGTGGGGAAGAAGAACCTTCCAGAACCAGCATTGAACTTCATTGTGGGGAAACTTGTGCATGTGGCTTTCCCTTCAGATCACAAGAAAAGGTGCTCACACACACATCCTTGCAGACCAACATCCAGACCCATACGTCCTGATCCACACATACATGCACGTGCAGAGCCTGAGTACCATTCAGTCATTATTCCTGTGCCCCGAGTTCATGGGGCCAAATATGTATGTTTCTTTTTTGTTGCCGTCTTGTTTTGTTTTTGCTTTTTGAAGAAAGTGAGGTGGGCTTCCCGAGCTGCAGGATCTGACCTGCCAGAGGGTCTCTGTCAGCTCATTCAGCGGGGCAACTGCTCAGGCCTTTTCTTTCTAGGCCTGCAGGGATGGAAGTGGGGACCTTGATGGACTTATCCAGTCATACTCCCCCTGTTCTAGCTGACTGTCCTGCATGTTGTTCCAGGGGCAGCTTGGAGCATCCCTGTTTCTGCTTTCACCTCAGAGGTCCTTCCATCTCTTCTCCAAGTCCCCTGGTGGCTGGTTTTCAAGCACTGGAGAGCTCAGGGCTGTGGTCTGAGGAATGCAGACTTCCTTGCTGGTGGTTTTCGGAATACTTGGGGAAAGGCTTGGGTTGTAGCACAGTGCTCACTGGCCTGCTGCTGTGGTGGTGGCCACATTAGACCAGGCCCCAGCTATGCCCCAGCTCTGAGTCCCTACAAAGGACTCTGATACAGATCCAAGGACTACGTGATGGGCTGGGCTCCTTACTTTCTTCTCTCTGGGTCCTTGCATGGGCTCTAGAGCTGTGCTGGGGTCTCTAGGTGTGGCCCTGTCAGAGTCCCCAATACCAGCCATTCCCTATCTCTCTCCTCATGAAACTGTTCCTTTCAGCACATTGTTGCCTAACGTGACAGAGCGGCAGAGCATCTTGCTATTGGCTTGCTTATTTTCTTGTTCTTGACTGCAAAGCTGGGGCCATGCACATGGTAACATGTGCTATGTGTCTGTCCTTGATTGGCTGTGCCCACTGGATCCAACTGACCCTGTGTCTCTTTCTTCTGCAGTTGTCCGAGGCTCCATCCAGGATGTCATTCATGCACCAGAACGCCAAGAATCTGTCATCCACCTGAGAGTGAACAGGCTCTATAGGCAGAAAAGCAGAGTCTTCCAGCTGGCTCCTGAGGGCAGTGGGCACTGGCAGGGTCACGTCACAACACTGCTGGAGTGTGGTGTGCGGCCGGGGCATGGGGACTTCCTCTTCACCGGCCATATGCACTTTGGGGAGGCACAGCTTGGCTGCGCCCCTCGCTTCAGTGACTTCCAAAGGATGTACAGGGATGCGGAGGAGAGGGGGATGAACCCCTGTGAGATTGGCATGGAGTGACTCCAGAGGTTCTGAGTGCTGCCCACCTTCTCCTGATGAGCTCCTGCTGGCTGCTGGGGGCCTGTGGGCCAGGGCTGTGGGCCAGCTGTTGTTCTGGCCCTGTGCTCCAGCTGTGGAGGTACCCACAAGATCCTGGCCGTGGACATCCTGACTGACTGATTGGAAATGGTGTAAAATGCAAACTAAGTTATTTTTTTGTAAAAAACAATGTACATAGGAAACATTCCTGTGTCTGAAGATGCCTTGGTGTGCTGTTTAATGCTATTTTAAAACTACTCTAAGCCATTGCATGGGCTTGGGGTGTCAGTGACAGCCAGGTTGGGGTGCATATGGTGGTCAGCGAGGCTTTGTAAAAGCCTGCATACCATTTGGGGTCATTATTCCTGTGACCAGAATTCATGGGGCCAAATATGTATGTGTCTTTTTGTTGCCATTTTGTTTTGTTTTTGCTTTTTGAAGAAGGTGATGCGGGCTTCCCAAGCTACAGGATCTGACCTGTGGTAGGGTCTCTGTCAGCTCAGTCAGCTGGGCATCAGACCTTTCTTCCTGGGCCTGTGGGGTCATGGTGGGGGGACCTTGATGGACTCATCCAGCCATACTCCCCCTGTCTTGTTCTGCTGGTCATTGTTCCCTTCAGCACTGCCCAGGTTCTTTCTCTTAACCCAGATCTTGCTCTTTGACCCAAGTGTCCCCCAAATGCCCAGGCCTACAGGAAGTGTGTGGACAGCCAGGTCCCGGGCTGAGCCAGGATCAGTGGCCTCCATGTCCTACCTCTGAGGGTGTTAGGTTTTTGTGGCTATTGTAACAAGTCACCATACATCAAGCACCTCAAGAAGTAGATATTTATTCTCTCCTAGTTCTGGAAGCCAGATCCAAAATCAGTGTGTAGCAGGGCCATGCTTCCGCTGGAGGCTCTATCCAGTTTCTGGTGACTCTAGGTGTCCTGGCTTCTGACCAGTCATGCCAGTCTCTGTGTCACAGGACTCCTCCTGAATGTGCCTATGTTCACATTTCTCATAAGGACACAGTCCCTGGGTCAGGGCCTACTCTAATGACCTTGTCTTAACTTCATTAGACTGGCAAAGACCCCATTTCCACATGCAGAGTCACATGCATGTGTAAAAGTCACATGCAGAGGTTATAGATAGACAGGAAATGGGCTGGGGCTCTTCACCCCGAAGGAAGGAGTCCCGGAGCGGAAGGTGACCAGACCCCACCTTTGTGCTCACTTATGAATCAGGCAGTTCCTCCCTTCCAGAGGCTGAGTCCAGTAAGGGATGAGAGAGGCTGGGGTAGCTGCTCACCACCATGCCAGCCTCGCACTGGGTGGTCTTGGGAGGCACTGGTCCTCAGTTCAGGTATGTGCCAGCTCAAGTGTGTATCAGCTCAGGCCTGCACAAGGTCAGGGGTACGCTGGCTCCGATTGTGCCAACCCAGGCCTACACGCTCCCACAGGTTACAAGAAGTAAGTGTGGGCAAGGGCATGAGGCAGCAGGGTTTGTGATGAGCCAGGCCCCATTGCAGCTGGTGATTATGATACTGTGTGCCAGCAGGACAGAGGGACCAGGCCCTGTTGGAGGGACCTGAAGCCCTCCTGGTTCCCGGTTTTCCTTTGGCTACAGTAGTGTTGAGGAGGAAGCTGTGGAGCAGGAATGGCAGGTTTGGCAGCCTTCTGTCTTTGTAGAGAGGTTAGGGTCCCCTGGGAGACTGGTAGATGGCAGACACTCCATGACAGGTACAGTCAGCTCTCTCATAGATCAGGAGAAAGCAGGGTTTAGATGGGAAGAATTATTCTCCTTGAGGTCAGGCTGGGGTTGAGCGTGGGGTCCAGTTGGCCATGTGATGTGACAATGGTGAAGATGGGCATCTTCCATGGCCTTGGCTGCTGGCATCAGGGAGGAGCCAGGGGATCCCTTCTGCTGTCCACCACTTCCTCTCCACCTCATCCAACAACTTCTGCCCTTCACCTAGCTCCTTCTGGGGAAGTCATCCCAGGGAGGGACTATAGGGAGCCACCCCGGAAGCAGGGTTTCCAGGAGACCTGTGGGTGGACCCCCAGCAGCCTCTGCCATGCCGTCTGCTCCCTTCTGGGGCTGGACTGCCCTTGGGTGCTGCATAAAGCTTCCACAGCCCATCACCAGACAGAGGATGGCAGTCATTTTGTGCTCCATCCAGCAGTGAATCCTGCCTCTTGTCCAGCCGTGCTGTGAATGCTCTGCCTCCTCAGCTCTGCTGCCTACTGGCACTGTCCCCTGCCCTTCCACTTCTGCCTTCTCCCACCCCATCCTTTCTGGCACTGTTCTCTTCCTTGTGTCTGGGCTGTTCTGCTGTAGGAAACAGCAGTGGCTACCATTATTATTTTATTTCCTTTTCCCTCCTCCGTGGGGAGCCAGGCCTCACTTGCTGTCTGCCCAGCTCAGGCATGTCCCTAGCAAGGTCCACATGGAGTGGGCATACACCTGGCCCAGGCCTGAGGCTTCCCAGGGGCATGGACACCTTACCATGATCCCGGGGCAGTGGAGCCTGGCTTGAATAGCTTAATCGTGGCTGTGCCCCTCCACTGGGATCCTGAGGCAGCCCCTCCTTGCCTACCCACAGTCCCTCTGGGCAAAGGATGTGTTAGAGATGGGACTTGGGGATGTATGTAGATGCTGGCCCTGGATTCTCCATTTATTGGATGTCCCAAGGGTTCAAGCCCCTGTAGGCCACATCATCCTTAGTCGTACCCTGGGCCCTGTTTCCTTCCCAGAGGAGTTTCGGCAGGAACACTCCCCATACCTGTCATGTGCTACCCTGGGATTAGGGAGCTTGAGCTACTGGTGTAGAAAGCCTGGTCCTATCCTTGATGGCTCTATGTGAAGCTACCCTAGAGGCATGAGCTGGGGCAGGGTGCCAGGGGTGCTCAGCATGAGGACCTTCCCTCCTGGGGGCAGATAGGTGGCCATCACCATTGAGCCTGCTAATGAGTGTGACTCCTAGGAAGCACAGAAGGGGAGGAGGTAGGGATGGAGAGTGTGGTTAGCAGAGATCCTAAAACTCAAGTTTCTGGTGCCAGCCGAACTGGGCATCACAGGAAGCTGTGGTGCCCCACAGAGAGGCCCCAGGTGGCCAATGGAGTTGATGTGTAGAGGACAGGGTCAAGACCTCTCAGGTCTTGACCTGAGGCTGGTATGGGCTCTGAGATGGTCTGTGTGGCCACTACCAGGGGCAGGGAGATGCAAGGACCTTTAGCCCTGCAGGGGCCACAGATTTTCCAAGATAAGTACATGAAATACACATTCCATTGGCCTCAAAGTGGACCCAGACTCTGGAGCTACGTGTGCTGTTGTGGGAGGCAGGAGCACCCTTGTCCTGCCCTAGGGGCCAAGGCAGCTAGACCAGTGATTCTGACAGCAGGTCACCTGTTCTGGCCACATCAGCTGTCCCTGTACTGGTTAAGCTGGCCTGGCTTTTGGACTGGGCCAGAATTGACAAGTCCCTAGTGTTGCCAGCGACAACCCTCCCCCTCCCTGGACCATGTGACTGGCTCTGCCACCCCTTACTTTTTGCTTTTGAGGTCTCGTTGGAAGTGCAAATACAAGGCAGCTAGGGAATGGTGCAGCCCATGGTCCTTTTGTAGGTTTGTAGTGACTGTTCTGCATTTTGCTGTCAGGTTGGTTGCTCACTGGGAGTCTCCAATGCTGGTTCTCTGAGTTTTTGCTCATACTTTTATCACAGCTGAGATGTGGAAGATAGCCCTTGCAGACTGCTGCTGGAGGGCAGGGATGTGAGGGGTGCTTGGCTCTTCTCCCTCCTTCTAGTGTGTGTGTCTTAAAGTGTGCATGTGTGTACATGGGTGACATGTGTGCTCTTGACGAGGCAGCGGTGGGCATGCTGGGGAGAGAGGGAAAGTCCTGGCTCACCCTGCCTCCCTGACACCTGGACTCCTTGGGAATTCTGAGTCCTTGTCCACAAAGTGAGGCTTCACCCTTCCTAGCTGTTGTGTGGGCTGGGCCTCACAAGGAACACCTGCCTGAATCCACGGTGGGTCCGGAAGTAAAGCTGCAGGAATGGCCAGGCACCGTGGTCAGCTATTGGCTCCCAGACCCACTTCTGCTGCTGCGCCTGCCCAGCAGGACCTGCCCAGCACCAGAGCGGGCTGTGGGTCCCACGGGTGGGGGTGGGGCGCCCTCATTAGCGCAGCAGCTGACACCGAGGCTGCATCTCGCTAATTGATTAAACTGTTTAACGCAGCCAGGCCTGATGGGAACTGGCCCCAGCCAAGCTGCTTGCTGCCCTTCTGCAGAGGGAAATTTGGGTGTTTTCTCCATGGGGATTGATGCTGATGGGGCCCCCACGCCCTTGGCCACTCTTCTTGGCTCCTGTCACTGGTGAAGGTCTTGGAAGAGCTTTGGGTGGCTGTCGTTCCCCGTGACTCACTGGGCCAATGCTGGGTGCAGGCCACATGCCAGGGAAAGCACAGTGAAGTCTTCAGGATGCAGGGGGCTGCTCAGTCACAGGCTGAAGGATGCAGCTTTGGGTTCAGCAAGCTCTGGGGGTAAGGGTGTGGAGGGACACTTGGCCAGGGCTCTCCTGGGGTTTTCTGCTCTTGAGATCCTCCCTGTGTTGGAGCATCACCCCTCCCCAAGCCTCCTCACCATGGTGTCAGCTGAGATGCAGGCATGGAGTCTTGGGAGGAAGGTAGAGCCCTGCTGTCCAGTGTGTAGCCTGGTGCACAGTGGGCACTCGTGGATATACAGGCTGGCTGTGGCAATGCTTGGGTCTTCCCCTCCTGAGGGGCTTTTCTGGCTTTGTCAGGCCTGCTGGGGGCTTTGTCCACCCATACACCATCACAGGTTGGTGTCGGTCCAGATAGAAGGGAGAGACAGGTGAGTAACAGGAGATTGTGACAGGTAGCCCTGGCAGCAGCTCAGGGAGAAAAGCAGGGCCAGCATGAGATGGGACGCAGATGGTGGGAGTGTGTGGTGGGGTGTGGTCCTGGCAGGGCTTGGCCTGGGAGGACTTTCTGGGGACAGTGGTTGCCTGTGGGCAGCAAGGTTGCTGGGGCGCCCTGGCCTCTCCACTCCCTCTGGCTCCTGTGCGGTAGCCACGTGGGGGACGCTGGGGAACGCGAGGAATTCAGCGTCAACACTGGGCCATTGTGTGCTGCCGCCTGGGCAGCCACTGATTTACAAAAACGGCGGTTCGGTTGGTATTGGGGTGGTGAGGTCACGGCAGCCAGGGGCTTTGGAATTTCA